CTTTAGAGGTCCCTTCCAACCTACCTTTTTTCTATTGACAAGACAGAGCCCCAACCTGAAGAGTTTATTATCTTGGCCAAACAATATAAAAAGCACAGGGATGAAAGGAAAGCTACATGTATATTCTACACCCAAAGACATCTCCAACACCTCTGCAGCTGTTTCTCTACTCCGAGATAAGAAAATACTAAAACTCTAGGCATGGTTAACTTATTTAGCTCATACTGGACATTTCCTTTTGCTTTTAATAAATGCAAAAATAAAGAAAAGACTTCAGTAAGACTAAGATCTACTGCTTTTGGAAAGAAACGAAACAATCTGCTATATTCTTTTTCAGCTCTAGTCATTATATACTTTTTTTTTTTTTGAACAGAAGACTTCTTGTCCCCGATGTCTAGCATTATGAACAATTTAAATTCTCTGTTTATGCATACCAATAACCAAATACCCTGTGATCTCCACTCTATCTGGACAGCTTATCCCACATGCATCTCTGTCCTTTCCCTAGTAGCACCTCTACAACAGGTGAAGTTCCCAGGCAAGGGCAAGAAAGTCTGTCTCCAGAAAACCCTCAGTTCCCTACGCATACTAAAACTTACCTAATAGACTACAAGCAGTAAGCTATTAGCGCCACTGATTAACCCCGTGGAAGTCTTTAGTTGATTGGTCTCTTTTTTCAAATGTTTTAATTTAGGATAAAAGTAGTAAGGAAGAGGGTGGTTTGTTTGTTATTTATACATTCTTATTTTCTTTTTGTTACTTTGCTTCACTTTGGTGATGCATGTTTGGTAAACATAGAAACACATGAATTGCAACAAGGTATAACCCTTCAACCTGAACCTCTTTTTGTGCTGATGACACATTATTTATCCAGATTATTAGCTATAACATTGTATTATGTTAAATGAAACATCCTATGCTAAAAAATGAATGATATTAAATTGTTTCTATTAATCTTTTTGTGTCATTAACTTCCACCCACAATCAGGCTAAAATTCCAAAAAGACTGTTGTATTATTCAGGCAGTATATTAGTAAAACAAAAGTTACTGGTTTTGCCAATTTCTAACTCGATGTCATATTGGTATACTTCAATAAGCTTGCAAGCAACTCAGAATTTTTGTCCACCCTAGTTTTGTTACCCACCTTCAGGATTTTTTGTTTCCTATGTTCATTCTCGTCTAGCTTTTAAATTGCGTGTGCTTCAGGGCAAGGTTCACAGTTTCACTTGCTTACTTATTCCTAGTCTCTAGACGCAAAGTAGAGCATTAGGTTCTTTAAAGCTCTCCAGCAGGATAACTTAAGTATTTGTCAAACACTGTAAAGAAGTTGCTTTTGTTCCACTTGAGTTAGCTGCAAAGTAGCTTGACAGCTTCTCTCCCTGTACAACATTACCCTCTATAGAGAAGACATTCAGATACAAATCTTGAGATGTAGGAAGCAGTAACACAAACATTTCTGGTCTTTGGTTTACTATTACCACATACCTCATTTAGAGAGCTGGAAGCCTCCTGTATTCCACTGTGTAGAGATGGCGCAGAACAAAAGTGACCAGCAGAAGTGCTACAATGTCCGCTGCTAAAGTCCTTACCAACTCTGTAAACTTTTGTTGACTTCACTTCAAGATTATGACTGAATCTCTCTGATCTGTCTAAGGACTCCTCGAAGCCTTCAAAGTCACCCCAGGAACTGCTGGGCTCTGAGGTACTGTAACTGCTCTCAGAAAACCCCTCTAAACTTCTCTCTTTGCTATTCACCACAGAGAGGCTTTCCTGCATTACTTCAAGATTAATAATTTCATTATTTGTCCTTTCATTCAAATTGCAGTCACTTTCATCTAGAGACACACCACCTACTCCAACTGCTAGGTCTTTTAGAGACATCTGGTGTGGTGTGTCTGTATTAATAAGACCTTCTACTAGTGACAGGTTCTGCATTTGCTGAAATCTCTATTGCAGAAAAGGCTACTGAAGTTCAGTTGTGTTAGAAATCGGAATATTTCCAAAACAGAATTAAATTCTTCATTTCACCCCAAAGAACAACAACACTGCTAAGTCAAAACAGGATGTCCTTCAGCCTCTCCTCCAGCAATCAGCATGTGCATGTTATTCAGTCTCACTTTCTGCGTAGGATATTAGCCTGCAAAGAAAGAATTATAAATAAATACTTCTGTGATAAGGGCTGTGTAGGAATAAAGATAGATAGCTGATAAAGTAGGAGAAAGAATGCTCAGGTTAAAATAAACACATTCCAGTATTATACAACTGAAAATCACTGTAGGCAAAATTCTAAATATTCACACTTAGCTATCTGCCCACACCACAAGCCAGCCATTAAATTAGTGAACAACGTTCAGAAAACATTTCACAGACACTGCTGGACATTAACCAAGTACCAATTGCGTATACAAGAGACAAACCGAAATAGTTATAGACAATATCCAACACTTAGCGTACCCAGCCGGTGCCCTTTTTGTTTTCACGGGCTTTCCCTGTCCCAGCAGGGACTGAAGAGGCGAACGTGACTTGAAGCGACGTGGGAACCGGCCGCTTAACCCCGTGCCAGATACAGCGCTTCCAACTGTTTAAGCAATTAAAACAGATTTAGCAAGTTCAGTTCGGCATCTGTAAATTATAGAGGCAACGCTGCGTTTATCATTTCAGATTAATCCCCTCTCCTCAAGCATTTTTCCGGCTGACAGGTCGGTTCGGGGGGGGGGG